CCTAATCCCCTGGGTGCCTTGATAGCGAGCTTTATGAGCCTTTGATATTGTTTGTCTCCCAGCAAAACCGTTACGTGAGTGAGTTGTTGGTTGTGAGACTTGCAAAATCGGCCGGATTTTGTTGAGGGAGATCCCAGTGTAAGGTGGATTGTTGTGGAACAACAGGCGTCGTACTCCATTCGAAGCTTAATTTCGGAAGCGCACTTGCGTAAAAGCGGAAAATAAACAACTTCTTCGAAACACCCCCCCCCTACCTTAATTTCGCTGACGAATGATTTCAGGAACCATCATTACTGTGCCCATAAGAAAAAGAATGAACTACGTCGGAAAAAAAATCAATCTGTGGTCCTATGTAACCATTGAGTTCGTCTGTAGCTGAAATCGAGGACTATGCCTCGACTTCTGCTAATGTTCCCTTTTCTTTCTCTCAGTCTCGTCTAGGGGCTCATGGTCGCCCTACCTTGGTCCACTCGGACAAAATCCACTACAAGAAAGATGTCTTGTTCCCTTGTTCACGGCATCCCCGCGGTTCTTCATCAACGGTCACGCTTCTAAGTTGATTTTTGAACCTCTACCCAAGCAGGACTGAATTCGGCGCAGGTGCTGCGCGGCGCTTTTCCCACGGGGGGCCTTATAGCGCCCTATCAAGCTGCAGCATACCAACCACGCCTACCGCGCCGCACCCCCCCCCCCTCCACTCAAATGTCCTACCGATGCTGATGTTCGCCGTAATTGGCACGATTCCAGCGGGAAACTTGTCCAAAATCGCTTTCTGATTCGTGTAGAACAGAGGCCTTTTTGTACTTACATAGCTTTCCCTGCTACCATTTTAGATCGAGACCAAATTACCGTGCCTTATGCCTTTGATCAACATGACTTGAACTTTACAGACGACGCCGAAAGTGGTCGAGAAGCAGCCAGACGAAACTGTGAATCCAACCAGCACTCATGCCGATGTGAGTGATGGTGGTCTTGCTGCTCTATTTCCAATCAAATCACTGTCAATCGATTACCAGGGAGGGCCTATTTCAAACCCATAGCTTGATAGATGCTCTAATCGCTTGCCTTTTTATGCCTAGACTGTGTGAGTGTGTACAGAAGGAGTTGTGGGGGAGAGGACTCGATGAGCGCTTGCCGCTTATTGAACCTAATGAAATGAATGGATGGAGCTCGGCGTAACCGTTTCTCCCTTCTGATCGATCCTGAAAGCACCGAGACGATTCCTTCCTTTTTTCTGTTTTTTTTTGCCTAATTACCATAATAATTTGATGGTTTTCAGGGTCAAACGACAGTTGTACCTGTTCAAGGTGGATTCATAGGCGAAGACGATACCGGCCATGTAACCATCCAACTGCCAGATGTAAGTCCGATTAATAATAGTGCCAAACTTAACAGGAAATCGTGAAACGTATTTAGGAGGAAGAAGAGGAAATGAAGCCGGTTGAAATGACGACGTCTTCAGCAGAAACGAGCGAAGCACAAGACAAGGAGGCGACGCATGAAGAGAGCAAGGTGGGAATTGTGGGATGGTTGGAGTGCTCCTCGCCCCTCCCCCCCCTTTACTGCCTCAAAGATGCTCAACGAGGAGAGCACCAATGAGAAGGGCGGAATGGTCTTCTTTCTCCGCCCATATCACCGTCCAAGTGACGTCGCGGATCAGGCTCGGAAATATGTCCACAAACGACGAATACTCCAGAGCAATGTAGTTTGGGTCTGCAAATTCGAAGAGTGGTCGGGGCTCATTCACGGTTTTTTCTCGCACCTGGCAGTTTTTCTGACCCTCGCCATTGCTTGTGATAAGAGTTTTTCACGCTAGTTGAGGAGCGCAGCAAGACACTCCCCGCGATCAAGTGGTCTTCAAAATGACTTCGCGCCTTTTGGGACCCTCTACGTCTTGATGAAGATGATACCGGCTTTCATCGTTTCCCTCATAGCGGCGCGATTAAGAAAAAGTTAGTAGCGACTTTTCGACAAGAGCTCGGCTAGGCTCACGAAGACGTAGGTGAGACCGCGGCGGTCGGGTCTCAAGGCTGCCTTCCTCGCCTTTAACGTCGCCAGCGCGTGCACTGTGCGCGCGCACATCTCTGGGGCGCTTTGCCATCTTCGGTGATCCTCGCTTTTTATAGCGATTAAGCGCAATCCCCGCACCGTTGGACATGAATTGAAGACGCATAGGCTGTTTTAGGGTTCCAGATGGTTTGCAAGCGCAATTCCATTAGGAGGTTGTGAACAAAAGAGCAGCAAACCTTTTTTGAATTTCATACTCTGCAAGCGATGGGAAGGACGTGATTGGAAGAGCAGTTAATTCGTTCCGTACTCATGCAAGAGGAGGATAAGAAATGAAGAGCAGTTAGTGTGTTTTTCGAGCTTACCTGTGACTTTCACTAGCGCCACGGTCGCACGGCTCAAGCTTGTGGGGTTCTTCCAATGCTATAGTGGAGCGCGCCCTTCGCGCCCGACGCACTCGTCCAGGGCTGCTGGGGTGACGTCTGTGTTCAAGGTGTTCCCAAGGTTTTTTCCGCTTCTTTTTCTTCTGAGAAGCTACCTATGGGATACTGGTTCATTGAACTAGGTCCCGTACTACCCGTACACTTGATTCGGCGGGATTATTCTTGTAAGGGTGGAGCGGGATTGTGCGAAAGGTGGGGCAGACATTTGGAGCCAATTTGTCTACTCTGGAAATATCTTATGGAGTGAAGTGGGCATAGCTCACTGTTTCCACGGAGTACACGCCAACGCTCTAATACTTTCCGCACAGGTAAGGGGGGGGGTGGCAAATAAGGCTGCGTATTCTGCGAGACGGAGCACCCTAAGCCAAAATAAGCTCTACATTCACAAGTCTAGAGAGGCTCTTATAAGGAGGTCGTTCTAGATAGTACCACTTTGAAGGGAGGCAACCTACTCACAGTGCCATTCGTTGCTTCGACAGCCCGTCTCATAGTCTGTCTTTGCATGCTGTGCGCCGAGACCTTCAAATATCCGCAGCCCACCAGGCGAAGCCGAAATGCGCCTTTAATACATTGGTATAAGTACCTGAACTCCGATCTTTCCTATACGGCACCAGTATTGATAACTTAACCCAACTACTGTGCTAGTGCACCGGAGAGTTCAGGAGCGCACAATGGGGCGGAGTGAGCCACAGAAGCGTACTAGCAGGCGGTCTTATCCCTTCCAGAAGCTTCGCTCTCCGGACGAGGCTACTTTGAAGCCATATAGTTCATAGGCGAAACGCCATTCCGCCGCGTAGCCAACCTAAAAAATCAACCACGCTCACAAGTTTTTCTAGGGTGAAATTCCAATGGATGTGAATGAGGTCACGACACCTGCACCAACAGAACCAGTGATCGTTGTCGAAGACACGCCAAGTGATATTGACGAGAACAGAGTTGAACCTGGCACCAAGCAAGAAGTGGTGAGCTTTTCATGGGGAGATTTCTCTCACTGAAAATTCCCAATGTTCCCATTAAGAAGTCAAATTCGGCCGCCACGTTCGTGCTTTCGTCGCTGTCCGCTGCCGTTGCTGCTCTGCTTCTCCTGTGAGTGCTGCTCAACATACGCCTCCACACTTACTGTGTACAGTTCTCAATGATTGTGTAGAGAAGATAATCATCTTAAATCATTTCAAAACCCCGTGGCCTTTGTTCAGGAGCGAAGTATTGATATCGCTGTACAGGTATTCTTTGAGTTGTCGTAGTAGTCTGATGAATAAAGTGTATTTTTTTCGTACGCTAAGTTTAGTTTCATGGACCAGTTTAACTCAAATAAAACTTCTAATCCTTCGTTGAAATGAGGTATGAAATAGGTACTTTCTCTACAGGAACTCTTTTATGAATGAACTGAAAAAGAGCCTAACGCAGGTCGAATGGGCGGAGCCAGGCCTGTGAGTTCGTCCGTCGCCCGCTTAGTCGCGAACTTGCTTCCAAAATAGTAAGGAGATAAAAACAAATGTCGCGCCGATAGAAGAGCTTGTAGACCTGATTCTGCCTATACGGCCAACGTCAATGCTCATCATGAAAAGGACAAAGACGAAGTTTGCGGGAGGACAGCGCGGCGGTACGTCTACGCCAAATATTTTCTTTTTTTCTGGAGCTTTGAAAACGGTTTGGACGTGTACTTCCCACTAAAAGGGGTACAGATAAGCACGGCATAATTATCCCTTTCGAGCCCCTCTCAAATATAGGCCCGGATATGGTCTGTTATGCGAAGGCTAGGAAGGTCTGAAAGGAGTCATCGGACCCTACACCATGGCAGGACAACCAATGGGAAGTATCAAGTCATTTCATTCAAATTTGTGGGGATATACAGGGGAGGGGGCAAAAAAAGTCACTTCGGCCGAGTCACATATCAGCAAAGTTTTCGCAGCCCAGACAGAGGACGTGGATACGAGTACCAGGGCGGAAGATACCCAAGATGTTCCTCGATAAGCAGGAGCTGGCTCTCGCCCATCACCTTCATGTACACCAAAATATGAAGTCATCTCCAGTCGCAGCCTGACTGGACCTTTGGAATTCATGTCACCTCCAAACAGCTGCGAAACTTCTAGTATGGAGTCACCCATGGATAGCTACCTGGAGACCAGTACTCTCGATCTGGAAGACCTCCAACATCGAGCAGCTCCGACAACGTCGCTACGGTCTAGGAATCATCGCAGTCGCCAAGGCGCGAGTTGATGGTATGGACCGAAGTTCCTGGAAATGTGAAGACCGATATTTCTTACGTGGACTCCTGGACTAAAAGGTGACGCGTGCTGCAGGTTATCATACGACGCAACTCATGGCAGGATATTCCGCGCTTCAGTCATCGCCTTGTACATCGGAGCACTCCATCTCGAAAGTCAACAGAATCATCGCTTACTCAGGATACCGGAAAAAATTTTGGGCCCCCAACGGTGCGCAGTGGCCAGGAATCTCTTGATGGCGCTCGATTCGGAAGGCTCTTGGCGGAGATTCATGATATTTAGTAGCCAATAGCTGTTACCATAACAGTGGTGGCTTGGAAATAGTCCGGCATTAGGATGACAAAAGGTAACTTGTAGCGCCCGGAAATTCAAGGAAGAAAAGTTACTTCTTTTGCCCATCCCCCTGTATATAGGAATGGAAGGAAAACAAAGGGCTAGGGGACGCCGAATCTAGATGGGTGAGAACGTACACACAGTTACCCTCCCTATCGCCCTGAAGAAGCCCCCCAGAGGGTAAAAATAAGGGCCCCCGTGGCATTCAATGAATGCACGAGATTGAGTTAACCCTGAATATTCTGCATACTGGGACACAGTGGTCATCCGCTGTTCTTATGTTTGGACAGAGGCCCGAACACCATCTGTATCAGAATGAATTCTCCACACAGGCAAGCATAGAGCACCCTCCAGGTTAAGTTGAAAACCATGGCGCCGAAGGCCTACCCCGTCTCCAGGGATTTCGACCGTATACGTTACGTCATATTTTACGTTGGGCCAGCAAAGCACGCAGAACCAGAAAAACTGGAGACACTGAAAAGAAAATTGTGTGGAATCGGAGCTGAACATTCTAATCGGCGCCGTCAAACAAGAAGAGGACCTGCTCAAGAATTTCTTCAGGTCAAACCAATCAAGTTGCACATAATGCTGCTCTTCAAATGGAATGTGGAAGATTCGGTTCAGTAGTTAGAAAAGAAGGACGAGCAAAAATGGACCTGTAGCCAAAGAGGTTGCCGCGATGTTGACGCCCATACACAAGAAAAGCGCGGTGAATGAGCAATGCCTGATCGCAGAGGCTGGACCGCTGTCGAACTTCCCCGCGAGACTGACATCCCTGCTGTAACCGTAGTCCGAGATATGCCCGAAAATTGAGGATGGTCATAGAGTGTTGTGTTGGGAGGCTCATTTTCTTGCAGAGCATAAAAGCAGACCCAATCAGTGCCTGCAGCAGCAATGTGTTCCGACTAAAGCGTGTGAAAACGGCCGCTGGTCTTATAATGAATAGAGTGATCGCACAGTTTCGGCGACGAGGGGGGGGGGAGCGTTTTGCTTGCCTTCGTTCTTCACGTAAGTTCGCGGTTCAGCGAATCTGTAGTCTGATAAGACCGGGGAGCTCTTGTGAAGCCAGAGCAAGCTCGTCAAGCCGTCATGGTAAATCCATGTCATTTCGAGAAGAGGCTTTCTAGATGGCTCGACGCGTTGATGGGAAGTAGCAACCTGTAAAATGCCCCTCCTCCCTCCCGTCGCCGAAGTGCACCAGAATGGTCTTCGTGGGCGGGCCGTCACCCTTCCGGGCGTCAGTGGGAATGAAATGTAGAGAGAAGCAGCCTGGATCTCTCAACGAGATTTTTACGTGAACTCAAGCGCAGTCACGCAATTCCAGTAGATTTCTGGTAGCTGTAGCTTTCAAACATCTCTACGAAGAGAAAAAAGAAAGAACTGTCACTGCCAGTTACCTAGCCTCTTCCTCGGCATTTAGATCGTTCAAGACCACTTTCAAAGCATAAGGCATGATGAATTGGTATTCGCTCTGAACTAGTTGGAAGGGGTACTACCCGTGGGAAATTGTGGAAAAGGCGAGTACAGCTAAAAGTGTGCGAAAAAAAATCCGTTGTTATGCACGGCATTGGACGAGTATACATAAATGCATTGCTGGACGAGTCTCCTGTTGGCATTGCGCCAACAACCGCCTCGGTAGATACGGCTGCACATTTCGTGTACGTATATCTGTAAAGCGACGCTTCATATCAATTGTACTTCATGAATGATGTGATGAGCGTACCAGTGTCTATGGGACTGTGCGTCCATTTCTGAGCGTGCGGTTACCGGAGGGGAGGGGGGCGTCTGGGTTGGCATGTTGGACCCTACAGGGCGCTATAACGGTGCCCTTGGTTGGAAAAGGCGCCACGCAGCGCCTGCCGAGTGGTGCAAGGCTCCCTCGTGGCGAGCATATCGACCCCGTGCGCCTTGTCGATTTATCGTGTCAGTCACTTTCACGAAAAATGGAATGCGATTCAATGAGACGGTACCGGTGACCGATGACAATTCTCCCCTTTCTGACATCCTTTAAATATGCGAATAACTTTGAGAATTCTATGCTGTCAAGATCGATTGTCCGTATATTCTAGAAAATTACACGGTTTCAGCGAATTCCGTATCAGTCCACATGACCAAATCAATGATAACATCGGGGAAACTTAGAAACTGGTTGAGATGGTACTCGTGTTAGTTTAATGGCTTTAGTATCATGGGTATTATCATGAGCGACGGTGGTATAGTGTGAAGCGGTGCCGCTCACAAGGGAATGGTTTCAACTTCCCATGGAACTTTGAATGGAGACCTAGGTACATCGATAGAGCCTCGAATGCTGATTACGAATATGCAGATTAAAAGTGCTACGGGGACCTCCCAGACGAGTTCTGGGCGGTCAAAGTTTGCGAAAACTCAGTTTTGGCTCGTAAGAGCTGCTGATCGATGGCTAGGCAGTGCCACCGTGGCCTAGTGGTAACGGTCTCGCTTCAAAGGCAAATGCTTGTGGGTTTGCATCCCGTTGGCGCGAAAGTTTTGCTTCGTCTCCTATAAGAGCTTTTACGAATATCACATGCTGCTTACAAATATCACATCCGTTTGACGCGAAAATGATCGGCTCCCTCGTTCAGTTGATGACCACAACAAAGTGAAAGGCTGCAAGCGTTTTCTCGTCTCAAACGGATGTGATATTCGTGTTCAGGGGTCAAAATACCCCAGAACCAGTTTCTGGCCAAAACTTCGAATTGTCGGATGGGTAATGAGTTCAGAGAGGGCAGATAGTGACCAAATCCATACTCGATCGAGTACGTCATATACTTGATCTACTTGCTCTGCTGGGTCGTAAACTCGGAAGAATTTCGAAAATTAGAGTAAAAGCTCTTATAGGAGACGAAGCAAAAACTTTCGCGCCAACGGGATGCAAACCGTCATGCATGATAGAAGCGCTTATACCTAGAACTGAGTTTTCACACAATCTTTCGAGACCGCTCCGAAGTCGTCTGGGAAGTCCTCCGCTAGCCACTTTCAAGGTGCACATTTCGTAATCAGACATTCGCAGACTCTTCGATAACGTCTACCGTATTTAGGTTCCATACAGAAGTTTCATGGGACCTTGAAACATTCATTGTCTGTACGTACGCGCAGTCTGGGGGTCTGATTCCAGCCGACCTGGCTCCTGTTAACGTTGCCCTTTCTGGGACAGTAAACTGGTGTCGAACTTGTCTTTTAGTATTCAGAAACCTAAATGGGGACAGAGTGTGTCAACATAAAAGCGCAGTTCAAAGACAGTCTCTGCGCTCAACCAAATTCTTAGGCGACCTTAACTTTGATCCAAATTTTTCTGGATGCAGTCTTCAAGACGTTCCACTTTGCGGCTTCACATGAGTCAATAAAGGCATGTGGCTCTTGAAATATGGGCAGCTCTGCTACCAGCACAGCGCTTCGATGGGGAAGTCCTATGGGGGGGTCGTATTTGGCCGCGAGAAAGGCGCGGGGGTCGATGTTTGGCGTGGGAAAATTTATTTTTCAGATGGTTTGATTTTTCTCGCTTGCGGACGTT